GTCTTGGGCCCCTTGCCAAATGAGCTTGGACAAAATCACTTGAGCATTCTGTGGGATGATTTTATCCCTTGCAACTAAGAGCATAAAAGAAGTATCTGCTTATATATATAAAAAAAAGAAAAATCAAAAAATCCTATGGTGGAAAGAACACAGACTCCAATTCAGAGAGTTCTAGATTTTTCGTTATAAAATACTTGTCCCTAAACATTTAAAATATTTTTCAATTTAAAAAATGTGGGGCTGGAGCAATAGCATAGCAGGTAGGGCATTTGCCTTGCTCATGGCTGACCCGGGTTCGATTCCCAGCATCCCATATGGTCCCCTGAGCACCGCCAGGAGTAATTCCTGAGTGCAGAGCCAGGAGTAATCCCTGTGCATCGCTGGGTGTGACCCAAAAAGAAAAAAAAAAGTTTAGTCACAGGTTACATGAGCTCAAAGAATGTCAGCTATGACCACAGTGCTAATAACCATGAGCATTATTTTATTATTATCATATGCCCCTGTGCTTTCAGTCCTCCAAGTGAGAGACTAGACAGTGTCAGGTAAGAACCTAAGGCCAGGAAGCTCCTTCTTTCTCACATGTCCAGAGCCACACCAAAGAGCCTCTTAACCCCCGGCCATCTGCTTGTATTTGTATCTTAGAAGTTTCTCTGTGGTTTTTCTCACGTGTGCCGGAGGAACACTGATAGCATTGCCTAGAACAACAGCTTTTGCTTGCTTGCTGATTACAATCTTTCCTACTCAGGAGTTTCTACAGAGAGGTGTGTCAAGCCCCAAGTGTCCCATTATAAGCTTTCCTTGGCTCCCTTCACTATAATTTATTCTCTGTGGTTTGTATTTTAGCCTTCCCGCCAAGAAAAAGAAAAATCCTATGGTGGAAAGAATACAGACTCCAAGAAGTAGGATTCCAAAGGTGTAAAACAATGTGGCAATTCTCCTGCAGGGCCTGTGTGTTAAGCTTCAGTTCTCTTCCTGGTACACCTATTCAAGAGGATCTCTCCTGTATATTCCCCCAGGCTTTAATTAGTCCCCTGGGAAAAGCTGGTCCTGAGGCAAAGGTGCAGCTTTCCACAGAGAAGAGAAAATGGCTTAGAAAATCCTCTGCAGATTTCTTTGCCATCTTTTTTTTTTTTACATCTTCAAAATTTTATGCTTTATTGTTAAAAAGCTATTCTTGTTTTTTTTTCTTCCCTTTATTTTATTTTATTTTTTTTACAGTTGTAGATTTACAATTTTTTGTGCTTTGGTTTCAATTATACAATGATCAGATACCCATCCCTCCACCAGTGCCCATTTTCCACCACCATGGATAATATCCCTCCCACCCCCATCCCCCCATCCCCCCTGTCTCTGTGGCAGGGCAATCCCCTGTGTTCTCTCTCTCCTTTTGGGTGTTGTGGTCTGCAAAAGAGGCATTGAGTGGCAAACATGTTCAGTCCATAGTCTACTTTCGATATGCATCTCCCCTCCTGGGAGGATCCTCCAAACATCCTTTATTTGGTGCTCCCTTCTCTATCTGAACTGCCCTTTCCTCTAGGATACCCGGCTGGCCTCTAAGTTATGGAGTAATCCTCCTGGTGCTGATCTCAGCTATTCTTGGGTATTAATCTCATATTTTGTTACTTTATATCCCCCAGATGAATGCAATCTTTGTATGTCTATCCCTCTCTTTCTGACTCATTTCGCTTAGCATGATACTTTCCATATTGTACCACTTGTATGTAAATTTCATGACTTCATCTTTTCTAACAGCTACATAGTACTCCATTGTGTAGATGTACCAAAGTGTCTTTAACCAGTCATCTGTTCTTGGGCATTCAGGTTTCTTCCAGTTTCTGGCTATTGTAAAGAGTGCTGCAATGAACAAACAAGTTTCTTTGCCATCTTTTCTCCAAGAAAATTGCCACCTAATTGTTCCCTGAGAATCAATTTGACTGGCTGACAACTTGATCATAAGACCACCAATAAATTTAAAATAATTTAACATAGTCACTTTTGCTGATCAATGCGGATTTAGTCGCTATCTGGGATATGTCCCAGCCTGTACCTAAAGTTTTGCATCTCATCTTATTCCTAGATTACTAGGAGATATTTATCACTATTTCCATTTGATAGATGAGAATACTGAGATGTACACTAAATGGTTTGCCAACAAACATCTTAACAGGTGAAGACTATTTATAATAGTCTCTAACTTGACTCTAAGCTTTTCAAAAGCCAGAACTATGCCAACAATTTATTCTTTTAAAACAAAGTATATAGATTGACCTAAGACATGAAACAAATGGTTTTTCTTATTTCAAAAAGTAACTTACTTTTCCTTTTTATATACATCCACTATAGATGTTGTTATGAATATACATATGTTAAAACATTTAGATGTAGTAGATATATTCTTGTGGAAAATGACAATTAAGATGATGTTAAAGACAATTACAAGAAATAATTTAATTGAAGGAAAAGGTAACACTCATACAACATTTACTTATAAAGGAAAAAGTCTTAAGATCATACATACTCTACAGGAAAAAAATCCTTGTATCTATCTTTTTGATAAATGTAGAAGTTAATACATATCTCTGCCTTTGCCCTTCTTTTTTTGCAAGATAAATGGGTAAGCTAGGTCAGGAGTTCCCAAATACTGGCTTGTAATAAACTTTTATTAGTCTTTGATGAAATGAGAAAAGTAACAAAACTATTGGTATAAATTTATATTACAAATGTGATAAAAAAAATACTTAACTTTTGTGAATTGCTAAGATTAAAAGCCACTTTCAGCTATCTCTCTGTAACAGAAACTTGATGTTAAAAATACATGTCTAACAGTTTCATAAATCTAAAGATCTGGGAACCATTAGATGAAGTGATCATTAATGTCCTTTCGAAAGCTTGAAATTGTACCCTCTTCTTAAATCACAATTGATACTTAACTAACCCTAAAGTATAACAAGAGGGAAAACATATTTTTAACCTTTTTTCTTGCATAGCTTGATACTTCTCCGAATATATTCTGAGACTCACAAGCTCCTAAAAAGATATCATAATTCTCCCACTAGGAAAAAAATAATTTTTAGTCAAATTAGTTTGTGAAATAATTTGTTTTTAAAAGTTGTAGTTTTCTTCACTGATATATTTTCAGAATTTACAATATTCTAAGGTCTGTCATTCCCTAGAAAGACTAAGCATAATTCCCCAAGTTATTGATAGAAATGTTTGCCCAAACCCCCTTTGAAGGACATTATATCTATTTCAAAATATAGTTTGATAAAGGTGAATAGATCAAGGAAATATCCTCAATAACTGTCGTGAGTGTTGATGGGGTGAGGGTAGAGAGAACAACATTAGAGACACTAGGAGACTTGCCACTCACTTTCATAATTTTATTTTGACATCCTTTCCCCAATTATTTTTAATTATAAAGTATCTAAACCAAATAATTTTCATTATACAAAAGAACTAAAAAAGTTTTGTGACTTTTTTTGGCATCTAATTTTTTTTGCTAAAACAAATAAAGAAGAATTGTGTCAACAGACTCATGTCCAGTGATTGCAACACAATAATTAAAGCACATGAAATTTGCAGAAGTTTGTAGCAACAAAATTATGGTTATTATCTCTACAAAGTGAATTCAAGGTAAAAATAAAAACATCTGCAAGTATGGAGGCTGAGAAAAGTCCCAAACTTTCCTCAAATTCTTTCCTTGCTGAGTATTTCATCAGTAAGAACAATTAATTCTGAATGCCTGAGACTTAAAATGATCCACAGAAATCGTTCTATTATACCATGGAACAAAATTCTTAATAAAAGAAGATCTCATGCCTTTCTTTGCATAATTATTGATCAGAGCAGAGGTTTATCTAGACTTTTCAAATTATTATAACTCTTTACAGCATCATATGATCTACCAAAGAGTAAATCCCTTCAGTCATGTTTTGGATTCAAATTTTCCTTAACACGCAAAGAGTATTCACTGGGGACCAGATGATCCAAGAACCAACTATCCTAGGAAGAGCCTTTGAAATATTCTGAGTCTCAGATACTTTTTGACTCTATATGCACATCAGGTTTCTAACAAGCCTGTGGCTCTATATTACCTTCAATATTTTCCATCATAACTGCATGGTTAAATTCCAGCCTGTTTTTTTATAATCCTGCTGACTACAGCAGTCTGCAGCCATAAAAAGCCTTTACAGACCTGGAGTTGGCTTAGAAAAGTGCCTCTGCAAGGAACAAGAAAAATCCATGCAGCATTTATGTCCAAAGTCAGGAGAACGAGGTAATTTCTTGCATTGGTGCTGATGGGTCCAAGAGATTGTTTCTCAGTTCTAAATATAGAAGTATTCATTTTCTCCAAATGGCATTTGAAACAAAAAATACTAACACTAAAGTGAAAGTAATTTAGCTAGGAAAAGGGGAGTGTCCTGTTCATAAATTAAACTTCTCTTCCAAAAGCTGCTGAATATGAAGTGTGTGCAAATAAGCACCTGCCCCTCTTCTGCTGTGCTCTGCCAAAAATCCCTCAGACTCCAAATCAGCAGGTATGTATGTGTTTATACTGAAGAGGCAAGGTTTCAGTACGTATGCAATTTATACTCGAGTCAAGGTTCCAAAAGTAGTTTCAACATTCAAGTTAGTACTAGTTTAGTCTCTGAGGAGGGAATTAAAAACAACCTAAAACTCTTAACAGACTACAATGCCCACTTACATGATTCAATCATCAATTCTATGAGTTTAAATGACACCATTCAACTACTGTGGACTTCTGCTACACTCAATAATATATTCATATTCATCTTTTTCTAACAGAGAGTTCCGAGTAAAATGAAAATAACAGAGGTGGGAAAAACAAGCTCAAGCAATTCCTTCAAACATTTGAACTTGAACTCTACACAGATCAACTCTAATCCCCCATATGGCAAAGCAGATCACAATTTATATCAACATTTAAAAAACATATCTGCAAAATCATTTGAAAACACAAAAAAAGCAAAGCTACTTGCCTTTTGGCAATTTCTGTGCATTTCCCAGGACTAGTGCAATACTTCCACAGAGAAGTAGACACCCCAAGCTGGAGAGCATGTTGCATTTGCCACCTTGCATGGGCAGTGATGCTTGTGGGTGCCCCGCAACCCTGGAGCTGCATTTAAGTGGACTGTCTTCCAGTGACAGGCGGGCGGCTGCACTGAGCTGTGCTGTGGGCTTACTCACAGGGGGTGGAGACAGAATGACGTCACACCCTTTCCCACACACACACACACACACACACACACACACACACACACACACACCAGAAAAAAAGCACACAGCAAAAACGTAATATATCATGACAATTCTGTCTGCTAAGTTGTAACTGCCTCTTTCCTCTGTGAAAGAAAATTTAATTTAGAGTAAATTTAGATTTGTGAATGTGAAAGTTATTCAGAGAATTTTGAAAGATTTGACAAACTGGGGATTTTCGTTCCAGAAAAGATATATCTCAAAGTATTGAGGCATTAAAAATACAAAATAAAGTCATACTAGGAAGAAGCTGTTTTTGATTAACTAGTGAACCAATGCAGTTCTTCCCTTCAAATAAATTTATGAAATTATACTTTGAGATATTCCATAATTTCAGTTTTATGAGACACTTAAGAATAAGCCATTGGCTATGTAATAATTCACTAAATCTACTATATACAAATATGTATTTATAATACATAAAGATGAAAATATACAGTGATATAGGTCTATTATATTTAAAAACCACTGTCATAATTGTTCTTTAACTCTGGATTTGGCTCCATGATAGCATCTTTACCTACATTATTACATTCCAATTCCTCCAGTGGCTTTATAGGAGACACAATGTTATCCCATTTTATAGGTGGAGACGCTATATGTAGAGAAGCGAAATGAAAGCCCCAGAGCTAGTTTGCAGCAGATCCAGCATTCCAATCAGGAAACGGAAGTCCAAAACTGCTATTCCTAATTAGTAGACATTAAATTCCAAAATAGAGGTGATAGTGCCTACTTAATTTTATAGACTTGCTAGAAGGATTTGGGGACAATAAGAATTTGTAGATGATAGTCACTGAAAACAACAATGATAATGATCAATCCTTAAATTTAAATAAAATTATGATGCTATACTGGGTATTCTAGCTCAAGAGGTGATCTCCCTAACATCATTTGCACCAGAATAACCAGATTAATAAAACAGTTTAAGTGCTGCTTGTATATGTAGTAACTCTGGGTTTAGTTTGTTTGTTTTATTATAATTATTTTTATTTGAGGCACCATGATGTAAAATACTGTTAATGATTGGGTTTCATGAATATTCCAACACCACACTCTCAACCAGTGCCCTCCCTTCAAACTATCCCCCCACCATTCACCACATGGACTAAAAGTTTAATTCAGAAAAGATATTTGCACTCCTAAGTTCATTGTAATGACATTAAAAATAACTTTCCTTTTTGAGGTAGCTGTAGTTGAACCAAAACAGTGAGAGGGAAATGGAATAACACAGATCCAGTGAGATTTTAGTCACCAGACTCCTCACAAGGAAAGAGAGCAAATGAAGAGTCAGCCCCATCTTTCAAATCAAGTGTGAGAAGGTACATTGTTAAAGTCATTTAGTGCAGCCTGACTTAAGCTCTCGCCATAGGAATGCTCTGGCACCAGCTACGGAAGGGACTGGGTTATTTAATGGGTCTTTTTCAAGTCTATTTTTTTACTTGAATAGGCAGTCCTCTCAAGCCCTCATTTGTATATCCATCCAGCTGGCACAGCTGTCTCTGTCTCTGTGTGCCATTGCCATTAAGGAAAGCCAGTGAGGCCACTAGGCTAGCAGGAAATGACAGGTTTTCTGAGAAGGGAAAATAGCAGAACTATTGAAAGGGAAGCTGTTCCTTTAAAAAAAAGTGAGGGGCTGGATCTAGAGTTAAGTGATGGAGTTTGGAAATCAGCCTCTGCTAGGACCCCCCAGGTTCAGTTGGATTTGCACTAGCAATTGTTATTTGTAATTTGTAATTTGGAAGCAATTAGAGTCAGGTGGGGTGGGGCAGAGAGATAGTATAGAGGTAAGGTGCTTGCCTTGCAGGTAGCACAGCTGGTGTTGCTGGGAAAAATATGAAAAATAATTGAGTAAGGGGGTAGCTGTACTTAAGCATTCTTATTATTTTGTCAGAAAGATATGTTTGTATTACCTTAACTAGTAGAAAAATGGGCATTCAGTAAAAACATCAAAAATATCAGAATTCTATTGCTTTTTGGCCTTTTGGCTAGGATCAAGTGTAAAAATATAAGAATTCTTCTTTGACCGGAAAGTAGACAGGTCCTAAAGAAATAGATTGTGTCAGATAAGAAATTTCACTTTCTCGATGAACAAAATGTTTTCCATCATGGCAAAGTCCCAAATAGGAGGTATACAAATACTCCAGAACTGTAAGTACATGACTACGTAGAATAAAACTTAGAGCCTTAATCACGCACTTTTTTTGAGAATTTATTAAACATTCTTCAAAAAAATTACCCTCTCTAATCATGGGACACTGGAGAGTATGACTATGGAGTAATTTGAACATTCCCGTTTTGAGATGTCACAAGAGAATGTCAACACTAAGCTCTGATTCAAAACTGCCTCTTCAGACACTTGTGCCTGTATCTGAAAATATATAAATGCTAAATTCTGCACACTTGTGATATTTTAGAATTTTTAATTGAGTATCACTAATATTTATGAGAAATCTAGTTATGTGTATGTGGTGTACGAATATATACATACATATATACATGCATGTAATACATATACGTGTATGTAGCATACATATAGATGTACGTGTGTATGTATCTTTGAACTCTTAGACCTGTAGAATGTACAAAGCCAAGATCAATCCTAAACAAAAACTAAAGACTGATGAATTGTGTGTCAATGTGTGTCATGATGGTTCAGGTTCACCACTTCTGAATGTCCTTCTCTGGAAGGATGTTGGTAATGGGAGATAGTAGGGAATCTGTGGTGCATCTGTCTCTGCCTTATGTGGGAGTAGAGAATAAGAGGAAAATCTTTGTACCTTCCATTCAATTGCACCGGAAGTCTAAAACTCCCCCAAATAACCTACTTTTGAAAAAATTCTGTTGAGAGAATATTTGGGAAGAAATGCTATGAAAATGAATAAAATATACTTGCATTTTTCTTTGAAGTCAAACTAGGGCGTTTGCCTTGCATGCAGCCAACATGGCCAACCCGAGTTCGATCCCTCCGCCCCTCTCGGAGAGCCCGGCAAGCTACCGAGAGTATTCGATATGCCAGACACAGTAACAACAAAGTCTCCAATGGAGACGTTACTGGGCCCGCTCAAGCAAATCGATGATCAACGGGAGGGCCTTTACCTTACCTTTACCTTAATATTTAGGAGCAATAGCACAGTGGGTAGGGGATTTGCCTTGCACGTGGCCGACCCAGATCTGATTCCTTTGCTCCTCTCGGAGAGCCCAGCAAGCTACCAAGAGTATCTCGCCTGCACAGCAAAGTGTGGTAAGCTACCCGTGATGTATTCAATATGCCAAAAACAGTAACAACAAGACTCACAATTTGTTGTGAGACGTTACTGGTGCCCACTCGAGCAAATCGATGAACAACAGGAGGACAGTGGACAGAGGACAGTAATAGGTACTACTATTTATTCAGCCATTAATTAAAGCTGATTGAATTGGACATAAACTCCACATTACTTTTTTATTCAAGTGTTAATTTTATTTTATTATTTTATTACGTTTTCCTCCCCCTTTTTTTGATTCACCATGAGATAAGTTACAAAGCTTCCATGTTTGAGCTTTAGACATACAACCATCAAACACCCATCCCTTCACCAGTGCACATTTTCCAGCACCGAAATCCCCAGTACCACTCCCCGCAACCCCGCCTGTTCCAACCCTTCCCCTGTCTATGTGGCAATTTCCCCTATACTCTCTCTGTCCTTTGGTTACATTTGATATTTTGATACCAGTCCCACCACCACTCAAACCTGCCAAAAAGGCAATGCTAGACAATTCGTTTTGTATTGCTTGTTATAAATAAAGTATAATGTCCAGGAAATTCTGTGTCGTTCTCTTCTGGGAGCCTTAGTTTATAGTCTCTGGGTCTTGGCTGCTTTTGAGATTACATGGTGCTGGGGGCAGTTTATGGGTATGACTGCCAAGCTTCTGGAAAATTGGGAACCTGTAGGGAGGAGGCCCAGTCCCAATCCAAGTGGACTTGGAGATCTCAGTCACGGGTTCCTGAAGCTATGCCTATTTTATCACAGTATATACTGCCTAGAAGATTTAATAAGAAGTTCGTGAGTGTTAAATGAAATAGAATATACAAATCCATTCAGGTAGCCTCAAATTTAGTTCAAAATCTGCCTGAGAATGCTAGACTATAGCATAGAGCACACAGTTGTTGGAAGAGGATTCTCCGATGGGCTCATGTGTTTTGTACATTTTACAAGCGGAAACAATGATTTCTTTTTTAAGGATGTTTTTACAGTAATCAGGCTTGGAGGATAATTGTTTCTTTACTGTCATATATAATAAAAGCAACACAAAGGTAATGCAAGGAGAACTCATGATTTCTTCCTGTTAGTCAACTTCATATAAATTCAGGTTCCTCTCCTATGAAATAATCTATGGCATAAGCAGATGTCACTTTTACCATTTTGTGTTTACCTGTGAAAAAACGGGCTCACAGAATGGGAAAAAGTTTGAATTCAGTCTCCTATGCTGCTGTGAATAGATACTGACCTATACTTTATCTTTGACAGGGGTTTTGTGTCTCTAATCAACAACATGAACTGTGGGTGAAGGCCTGAACACAGGGTAAAATTACAGCCCTTCATAATTCTTGATTTAAGATTTGTCCATTTAAAAATATTTCATTAGATAATTTTTGGTATAATGCCATATCTTACAATTCAATTCACTATTAGAATCAGCCAAGAAACCAAGAAACTACTGTGCTCAGTCAGAGTGTCGCTGGATATAGATTATACAACCTGTAGTATACTATTTTCAAAACCCTGAAGAAAAAGACCCGATCTTGTGTATAAAAAAAGCGATTCTTTATTTTCCTGAGCAACTGTATTTATTTTGTGACGTTGTAACCAGGTGTCATTTGTTGACTGCTAGAAAACA